CAAGGCCAAGCCTGGGCCCTGCAAGAGGTGTGCACATGGAGGCTGGAGGAGGGTTCGAGGAGCCAGCCGGATGGGGGCCTTTGGGCCTGGAGGACTCGAGGAGGAAGGCAGGGGTGAGGAGCCAGGGCCCCCTTCGGAGCCCGGGAGCCCTGGAGAGGAGCCCTCAAGGGGGGCTGGGGAGAGGATGGGAGGTGATGCTCAGCCCCTTCAAGAAGGGCTTTTGCACTTTACAGTTTATAAACCCTTACCGTCCACGCCGCAGTTCGTCTTCACAGCATGCCCACCAAGTGGGTGTTATTCCTCCCCGTCTTAGGGATGTGACTCAGAGAAGTCAAGGCATTTTCCCATGGCCGCACAGCACCGAAGTAAAACATTCTCAGGCTTCCTGGGATCACAGGCCCTTTTGGGGACCTTATGAATGCTCTAAGCCTTCTCAGAAAAATACACATATGTATGCACTAATTTTAAAGCCTTCTATGTGTCTTTTTTTTTTTTTCCTGTAGGTAATACATTCATATGGCTCTAAAATTAAAAAGACACAAACAGGAATCCAGTGAGAATTCTTCCTCCCACCCATCCCCAGCCACCTGCTTCCCCCCGCCCTCCCCCGGAGGCGGTCAGTGTCACCAGCTTCCTGGGGCTCCATCCACAGACAAGCCCAGACAAGCAAATATGTGTGTCTATAAATTTCGTTCTCTCCTTTTTCCCACAAATGGTAGATACTATACTCAATGTTCGTCACTGTTGCCTTTTTTTTTTTTTTTCTTTTTTGCTAAAAGACACATCTTGAAGACCCACATGGCTCCTTCCAGGGCTCCCTCCTCCTTTTTTGCTGGCTGCGTGATGTGCCATTCGCGGATGGGCATCAGGCTGCCTCCAGGCCAGGCTGGGCAGACAAGGGGCCCAGCTCCCCTGGTGCATGACCGGCTGCAGGCTGAGGTCCAAGAGCGCACCCAAGTGTCATAGGCAGTCCCATGGCTCTCCGAGGCCACCCAGGGCCACGCAGGGCAAGGCAGGAAGTAAGCCTGGGACTTGGCTCAGACTCGCCTTCCCTGCTCCTCCCGTCTCCCCACACGTCTTCTTAGGCCCATCAGAGAATCCAGGGAACCCCGTGCTGGTGTGGGTGAGAGGTGTCAGCCCCCACGCGCCCCCCCCCCCACGGCGCCGGGAGACACTCCCCCCACCCCCACCCCCACCCCGCCCTGGCCGTCAGCCCCAGCTCCTGCGGGCTTGTTTGCTGAGAGACCGAGGTTGGGCTGGTGATCTCCACGCCTGCCCCCTTCCCCGGCTGGGGCATGTGCCCTGGACGTGGGCTGTGCCAAGGCCACCTCTGCTCCTGTCCCTGGCCCACCGCAGCTACCACGTCCCCAGCACCTTGCCTTCTCCGGTGTCCTCACTTTGCCCTTGGTGGCTGGGGAGGGACAGCATCCAAGTGGAGAAGGGATGTGGGGCCGCTGGCCTCGCGTGGTCTGGGCTGGTTGGGACCCACTGGGCAGCTCTGCCGAAACTCCTCTTCTCCTGGCTCCGGGGGCCCTGCTGTCCGGTTGCCGCTCTGCCTCCCTCCGCTGTGCCGGGTCCTCCTCCGCGGGCAGGGGATGCCCAGCGGCTCTGGGGCCTCCGCTCTCCTCCTCAGCATTCCTGCCCCAGGCGGCCGCATCAGCTTCCATAGCTTCCCACAGCGCCAGTGGTCAGCATCAAGCCTCGGGGTCGGACGTGCTGCGGACTTCTCCACCCGCACACCCCACAGCCACCGCACGCTGGAAACCATCACTCCTTAAATCGGGTCCTCTTTCAGTGTCCCGTTGCACCTGTTCCCAACACCCCTCTTCCCAACCGCCCCATGCAACCTGCCACCGCGCCCTGCAGGCCACCTCCTGGGCTGCCGCCGGAACCCGCTCGAAAGCCTCCTGCGTGCACGGGACCCCGTGCGGGGCCCCAGCACCTCTTACCCCGTGAGTGCACCGGGCCCAGACAGTGGAGGCCTCCGAGGCCAGACCAGGGCAGGGGGCCACAGAAGCCACATCGAGGAGGGTTTCTTTTTTTCTTTTCTTTTTTTAAGTGGGCTCCACGCCCAGCATGGAGCCCAGCGCGGGGCTTGAACTCACGACCCTGCGATCAAGACCTGAGCAGAGATGGAGTCAGATGCTTAACCAAACTGAGCCCCCCAGTTGCCCTGAGGAGGTTTTATTTCTTAAGCCTGGTGGTGGATACACAAGGGTTTATTGTATTATTCTTTATTCCTATCTGTCTTAAAGATTTCACATGAAAATTGAAAAGATCCAACCAGGCAAAACCCAACTGCCTGCCCACCTGTTTCCTGTGGCCGTGAGGGTGAAATCCGTAATCCCTCCCACCCCCTACCCAGGACCTCATCCTGGGCAAGTTTGCTCTCGCTCCTCTTGCTCACTTCACTCCCACTAAGCGGACTTGCTGCAGATTCTTGACACGCCAAACCCCTTGTGGAATGTTCTACATCCCACCTTTCACACAGACACACAGTTCTCCTCACCGACTTGACTCCCAGTCACTACTCAGCGCTAGTTTCAATGTCACTTTCTCAAAGAGACCTTAGGGGACCCCCAGTAAACAAGACCCCCTTGTCCTTTCTTTCACATCACGCCGAACTTTCCTTCAAGCAGCTTACCACAATTTTTGACTGCCCAACTGTGTAGATGCTATTATGTGTGCAACGTCTCTCCCCAGCTGAGCCATAAGCTGGGTGAGTCCACGGCCTGGGTCTGACCTGCAGCAGGGTACGATAAATAGTAGTGGACTGAACGATTTTGGAGGAAGAATGCACGGCAGACCAGGCCCCGAGAAGGCACAATGAGGCCATGGGGGATTGAATCCCACCACCAGTGAGAGAGCTGAGGTTGTTCTGGAAAAGAGGAGCCTCCAGAGATCTGCTCTCACCTTCTAGTCCCTGTATAGAAGAAGGGCACAGGTGTTTGGGGACAGTCCCTTTGGTGGGCCAATCGAGGCAGCTCCTGTGAGGGTAGTAAGCTCTCCGTCAGGGCAGGGGCCAGGCGCGGGCCAGGCAAGAAGGGGCACGGCTGCAGGTTGGAGCAGTGACCCTTGGGGTCCTGCGGCCACCAGCTCCTGCCATTTGGCTGTGACCAGAAGGCCTCTCTGGACATTCTGGGGACCTTGCTTTCTGAGCCTGGTCACCTGCTGGCTGAATGGCTGGGCAGGAAAGTTGGGAGGTGGGGTCAGAGCTGGAAGAATGAGCCCGCTCACCCCACACTGCTCAGAGCCCCTCTGCAAGCCCAGAGTCTCCTGTGTGTCTGGCTCTGTAATCAGGGACCATGTTCTGGCTCCAACTTGCCCTATGACCCAGCTTCTCCTTTCCCAAAAGGACTGACTTGACAGAGCCTGGCACACAGTAGGGCTGGATAAATATTTACTAAAGGGAAGAAACGTGCAACATGACCCATGTGTCCTCGGGCCAGGAGAGTAAAATGTCAAATGAACGTGCTCTGGCATCGACCGCCTGGGTCCAAATCCTGGCTCCTCCACTAATGGGCTGTGTGACGTTGGATCAGTTGCTGGATCTCTCTCTGCCTTAGTTTTCTTACTTCTAAAGTAGGGATCATAATGGTAACTTCCTCTGAGGTCACGGTGAGCAGGGCAGGAATTGATCAGCGTAAAGCACTCAGAAGAGGGCCGCACAGAGGAAGTGCACGCTCAGCGCTCGCCGTGGAGTTTGCGATGTCACCCCGGCGGCCGGTGGGGGCGGGCCTCCGTGTGCAGTGGGGTTTCAGGGCACGGAGAGTGTGAGGGAGGAACGGCGTTCATTGAGCACCCACTCTGTGGCCTGCAGCTCTGTGACAGTTGGCAATCCACATCTGGCCCTCAGGAGCACCCTGCAAGGTAGGCATTACCACGTTCCTTTGCAAATGAAGACGCTAAGGCTCGGAGAGGTCAAGGGATCTGCTGGACCGAGCATGCGAGGCGGGACTGCTCCCACTTCCGGCCCAGCCCCCCGGGGAGATCGTGGCCACTGCCCTTGCTCGGCTGCTCCCGGGGCTGGTGTGGGAAAACAAACAGGGCAGGGCCATGTGATGGGTGCTGGGCGGGCTCTGGCGAGCTGCAGCTCAAATCCAGGGGGAGGAGGACAAGGGAAGGACTGGTCAGCCTTGGGAGTGATTTGTATCACTTAGCAACCACGTGCGCTGTGCTGGGCACATGATGTGCATGATCCCATTTATTCCTCATTACAGTTTTATGAGGCAAGGACTATTGCTAGCCCCACCTCGAGATGATGAGTGCAGGGACCAGAGAGGCTAAGTAATTTGCCCAAGGTCACACAGGCAGAAAGTGGTACAGAGAGTCCGCTTTGGACTTGGGTTGAAGCCAGTACAGGGGGAAGATGTGGGCTCTTGAGCCTCATGAAGACAAGGTAGTCAGACCTCCTGGGGTCTGAGGAGCAGGACAGGGGCCTCCAGAAGGCTGTGGGCAGGAGGGGACAAAATGCCACAATTTCCCCCATGGCTAGATCCATCTCCAGCTCCCTTTTACTCTTTGAGGAACACAGCTCAGCTGCCAGGCCTTGAGCCCTTTCCCATCTCTGTGCAAAGCCCTCTGTGTCAGAGCTGAGTGAACTCTTACCCAAACCAGGCCGCTCAGGCCTAAAAGGCCTCAGTCAGAGCTGGAGGAGGGGCGGGGGGGCTCCTTAGGGGGCTGGGAAAGGAGACAATGGTGCTAATTCCTTCCACATCCCCCAGGGAAATCTTGCTAGCCTCTAGAACCTGATCTGGGTTCACTGAGTTAGCCCCTCACCCCACCTCACCTCACCTCCTTTGCCTTGTGCCTGTTCCTTCTGGTAGAAGAGTCAGCCTCCCTGTCCAAGCCTCAGAGGGCTTCAGGGATGAGGGAGGCTGATGGGACTCAGGAACACCCACCAGCTCCCCTGCCTTATTTCAGACTCTGTGCTGGGTGCCTTGTTTCTTACATCTTCCCGCTCTCCTGCCAGGGAGCAAATATGGTCCCCCATTTTGCAGATGGAGAGGAGCACCTGGCTGGAGCAGTTAGTGAAGCCAGGACCTGATGCTGGGTTTCCCGGCCCCCAGTCCCCTGTCCTGTGTTGTCATCCTCCTCCTCCTCCTCCTCATCATCATCACGACCACCACCACCAGCATCATCTGCATATTCCGTGCATTCCACCTGCAAAGCCCTGTGGAGCCCTCGGTCCGCGTTTCTGTTCCTAGTGGTTATCACACTCGCCTCATCAGGGGTCTGGTAAGTTAGGTACGATCGCTATCACATCCACTTTGCAGATGAGGAAACCGAGGTCCAAAGAGGACACGCTAGGAGGTGACAGAGCTGAGACTGAGAGCCAGGTCTTGCCGGCCAAACACAAGGGCTTAGCCAGCATGTTCTTTTCCTGAAGTCAAGAAGGAGCAGAGTGGAACAGACAGGCAGTGAGAGCCAAGGGGCTCAGAGGAGGCAGGGCTGCGGCTAGCGAGGTAGCCTGGGAAGATTCAGAGACTGGAGGGGCTGGGGCTGGGCCTGGGGGGCTGCGGAGAGACACGAGGAATCTGCGTTGAGCGGGGCGTTGTGGAAGGCGAAGGGAGCCCGAAGCCGGAGACTGGGGGACCAGGGTGAGCCGAGGAGCTGGAGCCAGCCAGACCTGAGTGGGAATCCCAGCTTTGCCGCTTCTGCTGGGCAACCCCCATCCTCGTCCCTACTCCCCCCACCCCCAGCCTGTGATTCTTCAGCTGGGAAGAGAAATAATAACCCTGCTTGTTGCTGTGGTTGGTGCTTAATAAATACTTGTTAAATAAACAAAGCCTTGCAGTGACGCTTCAGGGAGATAGATCAGGCAGGGAGCTCACACTTCCAGCAGGTTCCTTCCCTGAGAGCAGCCACTGAGAAGGACGGCAGGTTCAGCTGGGCCCCAGGGCTGAGGAATGTGACCTCCGGCAAGTCACTTCACCTGCCCTATTGTCCCATCCAGTAACAACGACATGCATCAAGGCCCTGCAGGCTGGCGAAGTGTCCCCTTCCTCCTGCCCTCTAGAGAGCCTGCCTGGTCCCCGTCTCAGGAAGGGCTGCTGCCGCGGGCTGGGGACCACGGTGACATACCCCTGCAGCCACCAGCATTCTCCCGTGCGGGGGGCGGGTGCGCACTGGGAGACTTGTCTTCACGGTCGGCCGGGGTTGCTGGAGTCCCCCTAGCGCTGCTGTCCCTTTATCAGCTTTTCTTTGGCAAAGGGAGTTGTGGGTCATAAAATCAGAGGGAAAACCTAGTGACAGGCGTGGGGTCTTTCTCCTGCCTCCTCTGGACCCGTGGCAGGCCGGGCGTCCGGCCGTGTCCCGGAGGGAGCAGGCTAGCGATGATGCCAACGATGCCAACGAGTTGACAGCCCTGCTGGTCACCTTGAGGCCAGAATGTCCTTGGCTACGCACTGCCTCCCTGTGCCACAGCCCTGCTCTTGGCCTCAGTTTCTCTAGCTGTCCAGTGAAGTCTGGACTAGGGGCTCCAGATTTGGGACGTTGACAGCACCGAAAAATTAAAGGAAAAGACAAAGTCTGGTAACTGGGGCAGCATCTCAGTCCTTCACTTCGCCAAGAAAGGCCATTATGTTTTTAAAAGCAGCCAGCATCTCCCATCCCTATCACTTCCCCAAAGAAAGAACGTTGACCACGAAAGGAGTCTCAGGATGCACTCAGGCTCAAGGGTAGCGACCGGCCCAGGAAGCTGGCCCAGAAGGAGAAGGACTTGCCCAAGGTCACCCCGCAAGGCAGTGAGGGGGGCCCGGCCTCGCGGAGCCTCCGCCTTAGGAAATGTGCTGAAACCGAGTTCTCCCATGTGTGTTCATTTCCCGGCGCACTTGTTGCAAGAGAATGAACACCAGCTCCCTGCCTTCGTATGGTTTCACTGTAGACGCGATCCTCGGGACGCGCTCTCTCCAAAAGCACATCTATATTCAGAGGAGGGTGATACCCAGTTGTCAATGCCTCTTGCCCTCTTCGACCATCTGTGCCCCTTCTCTTGCGCACGTTCCCCTTGGGCCCTTGGGCCTTCGCCAGGAAGCCTCGTGTGACAAACAAGGGACAGAAAACCCGGCTGTCTCCCGGTGGCCGTCCCATGCAAGCACGAGGCCAAGCTTCGGACTTTTCACTTTTCGGCTGGGCATCGTGTGGGTCAGCCCACGCGCTGGCAGGTGAGCCGCTCGTTCCTGCTGAAGGAGTCAGCAGGGACAGGAGCGCTCACTCATTTGAATGGGTCCCTGCAGACAGGGCCCTCACCAACTGAGGGTCCCCAGGGCGGGACCCTCCGTGGCGGAGGGTGATGGGTCTGGGGGCGGCTTTCCCATCGGCCCAGGAGCAGACATTTCTGAGCATGGCTGAACATGGCAGAGCAGAGCCGTGGGCACAGGGCGGGGAACCCCGCGGGGCTTGAGGACACTGCTATGACCAGGAGAGGAGACACAGGGGTGCAGGACAAGCTGTGCCCCTACTGGGCTGAGATGTGAGGCTGGTGGGGATGGGGTGATGGAAAGGCAGGGGCTGGGGGTGAGGGTTGAAGCTGGGGGTGGGGGAGTGTCGGGGGGGGGACATGTGGAGCCTCAGGGCTGACCCTGGATCCTGGGGCCGGGCTGATCCTGCCACTCGCACTCAGGACCGGGGAAAAGTGGGCCATGCTGGTGAGCGAGGACCAGCACCCTAGAGCACGCGGGGACCATCTCCCTGACCCTCAGCCCCGGGCCCTCCTAGGGAGTGGGAGCCCCATGAAGAGTCTTCTCCTGTAGCAAACCCTGCCCCAAGCACTCCAGGGAGGAGGCTCCTCTTGCCAGGAGCACCTTCACCTCCCAGGAGCTCTGGAGTGGGAATGAGGTGCCCTGGCTCAGGGCTGGTCCACTCTGCCTCCCTCTGGGACTCTTAGCCAATCCATCCCAGGTCTGTGCTTCCTGGGCCTCAGATATAAAATGAGGGTCTTGAAATCAGTGATTTCCAGTTCCTTCTGGCTCTGGTTCCTTCTGTGGTGCTCCTGGAGGCATTCAAGACAGCGGGACAGAGCAGAGAGGGAGATGCTTAGTGAAGGATGACCTCCCTAAAACCTAGAAGGTGCCCCTGGCCCCCAATTTCTTCAGGGCTCCCACCTGGAGCCCTGGCTGTTAGGCCTCTGGGGGAGGTGGCAGACAGGGTCTGGGACTCCCAGCTAAAGTTATGACCCCTTAAGGGCCAGCATTGCCCACCCACATTGTCTGTTAGATCTTCAGACCGATGGGTCTCACTGGTCCTATTTTCCAGATGAAGAAACTGAGGCTCGCAGCAGCCAAGTGACTTGCCCCCCATGTTACGTGGTGGATGATCCAGGGAGCACAGGCTGGGAAGGGAGAAGAACCCAGAGTGGGGGGTGATCGCGGGGGAGGAGGGGGGCAGGGCTCAGTCTCCCCAGGCCCGGCCGAGGGAGGGAGTTTCTCCCGGGAAGAGGCGCAGGCAGGCACCAGGCTGTTGATCTCTAAATTACAGCGTTGGCGCGCACCGGTTGCTGCGGCAACCGAGTTGTCCTGAACGGGGAAGTGTATAAACATTACCACAGATGCACAATTAGATCAGGAAGAAGAATAGAACAGAAAATAGAAACTTCCAGCCTTATATAATTCTGGGCCAAAACGTTACCGGGAGCCCAGGCCCAGGCCCAGCCCTGCCAGGAGCGGGGGCCCCGGGCAGCACCCTCTCTCTCCCAGGGCCCCGGCGGAGGGGAGGGGTGGAGGGAGGGTCTGCCCTCCGTGGGCCCGGCTGGTGCTTCTGCCACCCCGGCGGGGTGAGGGCCGCCTCCACTGAGACACAGCCGAGGAGGCTGACAGGCAAACCCTGCCTCTCGCCCGCGTCCTCCTGCTCTGGAGACTCGGGAAGGCAGGCAGGAGGGTGACTGGCTTTAACCAAGCACCCACGACCTCCTCGGGTCCTGTGAGGTAGGCTTTTGATCCCCATTTTACAGGTGAGGGGAAATGAGTTTTCCGAGGCGTCACAGCGAGGCAGTGGGTGTGTCTGCCTCCCTGCCTCCGGACCCGTGAGCTCATGGAGGTTGACGGCACCTGGGGGCTGAAGGCTAGACACACCTGAGTTTGGATTTACTCCATAGCTGTGCGGCCTTGGGCAGGTCACTTCCCCTCTCTGAGCCCCGCTCCCTCACCTGTGACATGGGACTAGCAATACCTACATGGGAGCCAAAGCTTGGGGCTCCCCTTTCCTCCATCTTGACCACCACCATTGGTGTCTTCACCCACTTCTGTTCCCAGCAGGTCTGGGGACAGGACAGGAACCGACATGGGGCCTCGGGTCTCAGCGCAGTCTGGTAGGACTTCCCGCAATGAGGCAAATGTTCTATATCAACTCCGTCTCGTCATGGCAGCCATTAGCCACAAGTGGCCACTGAGCGCTTGAAATGCGGGGAAGTGAAGTGAAAACTGTTTAATCTTTAGTAAATGTACAAAGCCACGGGGGGCCATTGGCTGCTCTTCGGGCCAGCTCGGGAGGATGTCCAGCCCCAGAGAGAGCCAAGAGGGCAGAGGCTGAACCCAGGAGGTGAGCAGGGGCCAGAGCGCTCGCAGCTCCCTCTGCTCAGGGCAAGGGGGACAGATGGTGGAGCCAAGATGGGTGCCAGGAAGCTCCCCGGACGGGGTGGGGGCCAAGGAGGGCCGGAGGGGGGCAGCACGAGGGCCGGCCTGGTGGCCTCAGCTTCTGGTCCTTGGAGCCACTGGCTCAGGCCCCCACACTCCCTCCCCGACCTCAGAAGCACCTCCCCCGCCACGTTCTGCCCGCGGGGCTCGAGGAGGTCCTGGGTCCTAGGCCAGGCTCTTCCCCTTCTGAGCCTCTGGCGGGGGTGGGGGGGCGGGGGGGGGCTTCCCGGGCTGCCAGCATCTCACCTGTCGGGCTTCCCCCCCCCAGGCCCTGCGTCTTCCCAGGTGACCACGCCGGCTTCAGGACATGCACGGGCACAGCCGAAACGGGCAGGCCCACGTGCCCCGGCGGAAACGCCGCAACCGCTTCGTCAAGAAGAACGGCCAATGCAACGTCTACTTCGCCAACCTGAGCAACAAGTCGCAGCGCTACATGGCGGACATATTCACCACCTGCGTGGACACGCGCTGGCGCTACATGCTCATGATCTTCTCCGCCGCCTTCCTCGTCTCCTGGCTCTTCTTCGGCCTCCTCTTCTGGTGTATCGCCTTCTTCCACGGTGACCTGGAGGCTGGCCCGGCGGCCGCGGCCACGGCCGCGGCGGTGGCAGCAGGGGGGGCCCCGACGGGCGGTGGCGCAGCCGCCCCGACGGCCCCCAAGCCCTGCATCATGCACGTGAACGGCTTCCTGGGCGCCTTCCTGTTTTCTGTGGAGACGCAGACGACCATCGGCTACGGGTTCCGGTGCGTGACGGAGGAGTGCCCGCTGGCGGTCATTGCCGTGGTGGTCCAGTCCATCGTGGGCTGCGTCATCGACTCCTTCATGATCGGCACCATCATGGCCAAGATGGCTCGGCCCAAGAAGCGGGCGCAGACGCTGCTGTTCAGCCACCACGCGGTCATCTCGGTGCGCGACGGCAAGCTCTGCCTGATGTGGCGCGTGGGCAACCTGCGCAAGAGCCACATCGTGGAGGCCCACGTGCGGGCCCAGCTCATCAAGCCCTACATGACCCAGGAGGGCGAGTACCTGCCGCTGGACCAGCGGGACCTCAACGTGGGCTACGACATCGGCCTGGACCGCATCTTCCTGGTGTCGCCCATCATCATCGTCCACGAGATCGACGAGGACAGCCCGCTCTATGGCATGGGCAAGGAGGAGCTAGAGTCGGAGGACTTTGAGATCGTGGTCATCCTCGAGGGCATGGTGGAGGCCACCGCCATGACCACCCAGGCCCGCAGCTCCTACCTGGCCAGCGAGATCCTGTGGGGCCACCGCTTTGAGCCCGTGGTCTTCGAGGAGAAGAGCCACTACAAGGTGGACTACTCGCGCTTCCACAAGACCTACGAGGTGGCCGGCACGCCCTGCTGCTCCGCCCGGGAGCTGCAGGAGAGCAAGATCACCGTGCTGCCTGCCCCGCCGCCCCCGCCCAGTGCCTTCTGCTACGAGAACGAGCTGGCCCTCATGAGCCAGGAGGAAGAGGAGATGGAGGAGGAGGCAGCAGCCGCTGTTGCCGTGGCCGCGGGCCTGGGCCTGGAGGCGGGCTCCAAGGAGGAGGCGGGCATCATCCGAATGCTGGAGTTTGGCAGCCACCTGGATCTGGAGCGCATGCAAGCCACCCTCCCGCTGGACAACATCTCCTACCGCAGGGAGTCCGCCATCTGACCTCCAGGCCCCGCCTTCATCACTTCCCACACGAGCCTCTGCAGGGGGTGGGATGCCAGGACACCCCTTCCACACTCAGGACAGAGCTGACCCTGGCTGCGTGGACCTTCCGGAGGGGGGGGGGGCTTCAAAGACTGGGGAACCCCCTTCCTATTGACTCCAGAGCCCAGACCTGGGAAGGGCCCACGATACCCTCTGCCCTGTCAGCCTACCCACTGGCATCTCGGGGACCCCAGACCCACCACCCTTTTCCCACTGACACTTCAAGGACATGCCCCCTTTACTCTCAGAACCTTGGGGAAGGCGGCTGGACTGCTGGGGGTGGGCATCACGGGGTTCTGGGGTGGGCAGGGGTTAGTGTGGGAGGAGGGAGGGTGGGGGTGCGTTTCTTTTGCATGACTGTGACCAGTTGCTCTTGACTTTCTTTTGTAAATATCTATAAATGGAGAAATGGAGGCACCAAATCCACCTTCTGCCATTTGTACCCGCAGGACGAGGAGGTGCAGTCCCTCTCTGTGAACCCCTCCCCCTCCCAGCCCGGCAAGCCTAGCCCCTTCCCCCGCCCAGCTGGCTGGTCCCCAAAGCCAGCCATCTTGGCCCCTGGATGGTGTTGGGTTTGGGTACAAAGGTGGGACCCCGAGGGGCAGGATGAGGACCTCCTGTGGTCCCTCCAGATCCCCGGGGTCCAGCCCAGATTGACAATGGAGTTTGTAACTATATATTTTTAATAAAGTATATGGTCCATTAGGGTAGGCTGGTTGAAGATGAAAAGCAGAGAAGAAGAGATAGAGAGAGAGAGAGACCATGATGTGAGTGTGTCTGCGTGTGGTATGTACGTGTCCCTTTCCGAGACACGGAGCCCTGGAGGGGACTATACCACCTGCCATTTTCCTTCCTGGGAGCCAATGGGAAAGAGCCTGAGCCGGCTTCAGAGGACCTGGGCTTGAGCTGGAGCTTTGCTACTTCACCGCTGTGTGGCTGCCAGCAAGTTGCCCATCTGCTCTTGGCCTCAGTTTCATCATCTGTAGAATGGGAAGAACCACCCCTCCCTCCCAAGAGATGATGGTCAGGAAAGCCCTGTGTGGCTGGCAGCTAAGCCTCTGTAACCCGGGATGGCTGGGGGCGGGGGCGGGAAGGGAGGGGCCTGTCTGGTCACACCTGCTCCAGGCACACACGCCAGGCTGGGCCGATGAATTTGGCCTCAGGACGCTGGTGGCAAGGGCTCTTGGGGGCAGTAGGAAACCTGGTCCTAGTCGGACTTGGTCTCTGTCTCACTGTGGGTGGGACCTTGGCTAAGTCCTTTCCTTTCTCTGGGCTTCGGTTAGCTGTGCTGTGTAACAAACCACCCCAAAACCTGGACGATGGTGCTATATTCTTCCTCGAGGTTCTGTGGGTGGACTGAGTGCTCCCTTGCCCGGTTTCCTGGGGCTCACTCCAGCAGCTGGGGAACATCAGCTCGGCTGTAAGGTCCACGATGGCCTCGCCCGCGTGTCAGGTGGTCGGTCTGGCTATCGGCCGGGGCCTCTCTTCCTCCAAATTCCTTCATGGCGTCTCAGGGCAGCAACCTAAGAGGGAGAAGGCAGAAGCTACGAGGTCTCTTGAGCCTAGCCTTGAACTTGGATGACGTCGTTTCCACCGCAATCTCTTGGCCAATGAGGTCACGCGGCCAGCCCAGATTCAAAGGGTGGGAAATCAGACTCCAGCTTCTGGGAGCATGGTAAAAGTCCCGTGGCAAAGGGTGTCCACACCGGGGTGGCATTGTGGCCGTACGTGGTAGTCTGTCACAGAAACTTTCAGTGTGAGAGCCCCTTCCAGCTCTACCTCTAGTCTACGTGCCAACTGCATACCCAACAGTGGAGGTGTAAGGAAGCAGCGGGAACCCTCGCTGTTCCCAGGAAACTTCTAGGTAAAAGGCGCCACTACCTCAGGAAATGCAGGGAAGCAGCAGGCCAAAGCTCACCTACTGTGAAGTGCTGTGAGCTGCTTTGTGAATGATCATATTTCACCAGCACTGGCAACGTGGCTGCATTTGCGTAAAACATGGTGCATCTGACGGGCTTTAACAGTTTAACAAGAGAACCTGAGGCCTCTGTCCCGGAGAAAGACGCTAGCCTGGGATCCAAATCCCTCAACAAATAACTTGTCCTAATGTCTCCCTTCATGTGAGACATCCCTTCCCATCCCTCCATTCACTAAACTCTGACCGCATCCCGAGAGGCAGGTAGATGAGGATGGGGGTCTCAATCCTTGTGGGGGCCCGGGAACTAAGGGGCTGACATGAACCAAGGTGAGGACAGACAGAGGCCAGGAGGCCTGCTTCCCTTTCACTCACCCTCTCCCAGGCAGGGGCTAAGTGAGGAGCAGGGGCTGCCCCCATCCAGATTTCCCAGAGTGCTCCTGTGACCTTTGGGGGCCCCCGAAGGGCCTGGGGAGACCACTCAGCAAGACAAGAGCATAGCTGTCCAGCTGCCCACGCTCACAGAGGGGCCTTTGGTGCCCTTCTGCCAGGGTCTCACCTCCCACATGACTCATCGGAGATGTCCCTCCATCCGGCCCTGCAGGCCCCCCAGGAGGGCCTCCCCAATCTCATCCTCTCCGGCCGACTGCCTTCCCAGGGATGCTTCGGCGCCTGGGTGACCAGGGGTCACTGAAGAGGACCTCAGACGCAGGCACCCTTGGACTCAGAATCTTTGACCCGGGACATATCTTAGAGGTTAACATAAGGGCACGACCGGAGGCGAGTTTTGACAAGGGCTGGAAAAGCAAGGACTTTCTGGGGTGCCAGAGAGGAGTGCGGGGCACGGGCACTGGGGGCGGGCCCAGGGGGAGGGGCCATGGGGTGCCAGAGCCAGGAGGCAGCCGGGAGCTGCAGGGAGGCTCCGAGGCCCCGCTGGCTGCCTGCAAACCCCTGCCCGCTCTGCTCTGTGCTGACTCACCTTCCCTCTCCCACCTGTTCCCCTTTCTCAGCCCTCCCACCTGCCTTCCCCCCTCTGCTCACTGGCAGGCAGCTCCTCTGATCCCTCTCACTTCACTGGGGCTCCTGGCGGTGCTGAAATGGGGGGGTCGCTGTGTCTGGGGTGGAGGAACCTCAGGTATCTTGGAGCCCGCAATCACGGAAACGGGCTGGCTGAAGGGGAGCTGCAAGTCCCTCCCCACCGCACCCCATCTTCCCAGCCCGCACCTCCCCTCCCCTGCCTGGGCCCTCCCACTTCCCCCCTTCAGTCACAGCCCGGGGGAGTGGAAGGAAGGAAGGGATATCAGGTGGGAGAAAGAGAGGAAGAGAAGTGGGGGTAGGGGGGGTTTTGAGGGTGTGGTCTAATGAAGCTGAAAACCTCCCCCTCATCTTGCCTCAAATCCCACCCCTTCAGGCATAATTCCTGCAGGTTCATCTTTGCTTCCTTCACCACCAGCTTCTGAAAAACCTATTCCTTACAAACTCAACTCAGCTGTTTCACCTGGTCAAACTCCCGCCTTATCCTTGCTGGTCCTTAGTTAGATCACCTGCTGTGACGGGGGTAGGGGTAGGGGGTCTTCTTCCTGTGTCTGGCTTTTCTCACTGCAGTTTTTTTTTTTTTTTATGGGGACTGACTTTTCTTGGTATTGATGGAGTCTACATATTTTCCATTTCTAATGACTACATACTGTTCATAAAATCCTAGAGCTCAGGGGACGCCTGGATGGCTCAGTCGGTTAAGCATCCCACTCTTGGTTTTCGGCTCAGGTTGTGATCTCAGGGTCCTGGCATCGAGCCCACTGATGGGCTCCCTGCTCAGCACAGAGTTGGCTTGTCCCTCTCCCTCCCCCTCTGCCCCTCCCCCTGCATGCACTCTCTCTCTCTCTCTCTACAATAAATAAAATCTTTAAAAAAATATCCTAGAGTTCAGCAGGACAGCCCCTCACAGTGGGCCTAGAGGGGAGTAACCTTGAACCCCACTGTCCTGGGCGCCAGCCCAGTGCCCTTCCCCCTACTACACGCAGGACCAGCTACATAACTTGTGGGATCCACTGCAAAATGAAAATATGTGTCCCTTGTCCCTAAGGTGGGGAAACGGTGCCATTAAAAGCACCCAAAGTATAAAGCTCTCTCCTTTCTCCAGATCACCTTCTCGGCTCCTGTGCGTCCCACAGCGTCCTGCTGGACTTCACTTACAAAACACAAGCTCAAAGAGAAAATGAAGAATTTTAAGACAGAGCCTACGGAGCATTAAACCTGGCTTCAGGCCCTCCCATGAAGCCAGCCCTCTGATGAGCCCCCCCGGCCTCCCCCTTCCCCTGCAGGACCACGATGAATGCCAACTCTCCTCCACGATACACAGTGCTGTGATCAACATCTTCGTCCCGTGTGTTCTGTTGCGTTGTTGTACTTGTTCTTCTGGCGCCTGTTTGCTCCGACGAAGGACTAACAGAATTCTGGGCTATGTTGGCCAGACAGGCTCCGAACGTGACCCCAGCATGGGAATCTTTCCGCAAGGACGATATAAAGCTGAGTTCTAAGGATGGCAAAGGGGAGAAGTTTCAAAACCAAGCTCCCCTTCCACGGCTTCTCAGGGGGCTGCCTACTGAGAGCCTGAGTGCTGGCGAGGGGCAGTGCCGGCCGGAGGGGGCAGCGGCCAGGGGCGGAGAGGCACGCACTGCGTATTTCTGGAGAGGAGCGAGCATGGGTGTGAGAGGCAGAGGTTCTCAGCCTGGAATCCTGCTCTCTCACCCACAAGCTCTGTGACTTTGGGCAAGTTGATTCTGTCTCGGAACCTGTGTCCTCATCCTTAAAGAAGGGCCATTTGTATCTCTCTCACATGCTGTGTGGACTAAATGAGATCTCATATGTGATCGGGCATAGCATGACGTGGGGCAGATCGTGGGCCCAAATAAATGTGAGTTCCCTTCCAGAAAGGGTTTTGACGAGCTTGCCATAGGAGACACTGTTTGAAAACTGACCTCTGAGCTTCCTGACAGCCACGCAAAAAAGGGAAATCAGATGACTTAGGGCTCAGTATATGAGGAGTGGGAGGCTAGAGAAAGAGCGTGGGTTCTGATTTACTGTGTGATCCTGGGTCATCTCTTCCCTTCTCTGAACCTCATTTTGCCCATCTTCAAAGTTAGGGGGTTGGACCTCATGCCCTCCAGGGTCCTGACATGTCTGACAACCTAGGATTCTATTCCTGTGTCCTTCACCAGATGGCAGGAGGTCTTGGGCAAAGGGTGGGGAAGGACAGAATTGGTACTGTCTTGGCTGAGTCAAGCTTCGTCCCCTCCTGCATGCTTTGGCCACCTCAAGGATCCACCCCAACTTCATCCACTCCCTGCCTCCCATCTGTATAAAAGCCCCTTCACCAGCCCCAGTGGGAACTCCCTAAGCGGAGGCATTTACCTGTACCCTGGCCATCAGCTCACACATCAGCATCACTGTTACAGATTTCAAAGGGCTTCTGTGTCGTTCATTCATTCATTCATTCATTCAACAAATACTTGTCGAACACCTACTATGAGCAAGCAAGACCCTAGTCTAGGAGTGGAGATTCAGCGCTGAACCGAACAAGACAGATGTAGCTGGGCCCCCAGTCCTTCAACCCCAGGCTGTGCCTCTGGGAAAGAGCCCCAGGCTGGCAGCCCTGAGGCCTCTGGCCTGGGTCATGCTGCCAACACCAGGTGGGACCATGGGCCATCTCTGCCCCTCCCCGCTTAGGCTTGAGACAGCAAGCTGGGCTCCCTGGTTTCAGTCGCCATAACTGTCCACTGTGGCCATGGGT